CCTCTACTGTTAAAGAAAAATTATAAAATACTAAGAGCAGCAACAAAACAATGAGCCTTGATTGTTTCTAAGAGAACATACTTTTATTAAAAAAAAAATCAAGATGAGTTCTATTTTCAGGAGTCCATCTACAGTTGGATGGCCAAAAATACAAGCAGATGATAGCCCCAAATGATAAAAGAAAATTTGATTTGACTTGGACTAAACAAGCATGCAATTCAAAAATCCAATGAGGAAGAGTAAAAGAGAAATTTAACATGAAAAAGCTGGCAAAGAAAAACCGCTCTAAAAACACAAGGCAAACCTATACCAAGGTTTAAGAAAGGAGTTCTTGGAAATTCCATTTTTTTTCCAAGAGTCACCTCACCTAAAGGCAGGGGAGGAAAAGATAGTTGGATAGTCCTAAATTAAGTTTGCGTTTGGTAATCGTCTGTTTGTGTGTTTTTCAATTTTTTTAAAAAAAATTAATAATAATAACTCGTTTGGGATGTGTTTCCGTTTTTTTTAAGGCAAAGTTATTTTGAAAACAAGGCCCAAAAATGCAAACAAGAAAAATGTGTTTTCAAAAACACCAGAAAACGCAAACAACGCGCATGCATGGGGGATTTAATGAGATCTTGCCTTCGAACTCCCTTAGCAACAAAAAATTCTCTTTTTTATGGGAAGTATAAAAACTCGTTTCTTTGTCAAACTCACCTATCTCGTCTGTCTGTCTGTCTCTCTCTCTCTCATGAAATACCGTCTTTCTCCATCCTTGCATCTCGATCTCTCCTCTCCATCTCTACTTGGTCTCTCTCTCTCTCTCTCTCAGATCCAACATCATCTCTCTCTAAAAGGTAATATTTGAACTATATACTCTCTATGTATTCAGAGATCTATGTATTTATCTACATATAGATCAGTGTTTTGCTTTCTTAATCTAAATGGAAGCTTAATTTAAGTAAGGTGGTTTTGGGCTAAAAAAGTGAAACAAAATAAGCTTGATTTAGGTTCGTTTCAAATATTTTATTAATGTGGTTGCTGATATACATCCATGGCTGACATAGTTGATTTTTCAGCATTGATGTCTACTTCAGCAATTAGGGTCATAGATTTTATAGTTTTTGTATCTATGTGTCGTGGCATGGAGATAGACTTTGCTTGCCCCGAAGACTTAGAAAAGAATTTTCTTTGTTTGAGAAGTGAGAACGGAAGACAATGTAGGGTGTATTGCTATTGTAATGAACTATGAGATTGTTTTTCTTTCTTTTTTTTTGGCAGGGAAATAATCTAAAGACGAGCACAAATTGAAGTGGTTAGCCAACGAGTTTTCTGTTTTTGTTTTCATAATTTCTCACCCCAGTTTGTAGTTCTCCGTCATTGCAAAATTGTCGCTATCAAAAAGGATGCTCGAAATACCATGTGCACAAGTAACTTTAACATTTAAGATGAAAAAATTGCTGGGAAAACAAGAGATGGCAAAAAAAAGATTTGAAGGCCAACCTAGTTAATGTTACTGCTGCCCTCAGTTAATTTTTTTTTTATCTTAGGAATAGTTTTGATAGCTGTGTTTCTGTGGTGTCAAATTCTCTGTCACTGTAAGCTATCCACTGTTGGCCTGCTTATGTGATTTGGTTCAGGTTGATGGGTTTCGCAGGTCCCAAAAAAGTAGCAAGTCTTTTGGACTTGCTTGACTTCTGAGCATACTACTTTGTCAGTAGTCCAAAATATAGATATAAGAATCCCGAATGAACCACCATCCACAAATGTCAATCCATTCAAGCAAGAGAGTGCAAGAATCCTTTTGTTTGACATGAAGACAATTGTTAAACCTTACAACTTTAGTTGTGCGATGTATATTTCTCAGATATTATGTGGAATAAACAGTGTTATTGCCTGGGCTTCTCATATTAACTGCACCAAGACAGTGCTCTACAACGTGAAAGTGATAAAGGAAAAAAGTGACTTCTGGTCATTCACAATGATCGATGATAAAACACTGTCAGTAAGGTACATCAAAGAACCTGAACTAAATTGAATATTTATTGACCAATGAATCAGCAAGGACAAAAGGCGCATCATGGAGACATAGAGGCAATGTAGGCTTCCAAACCTCGAGGTGAAAAGCAAAAATACCGACCAAGAGATATAGAATGTAGTGTTAACATAAATGGAAACTGGAAAAATTGGAAGTATACCTGTCTGGCAATGACATTACTCTGCTCACGAATAAAACCTACAGGCTGAAAAAACAATATCAATTCCAAAAATTCCATACGAGCACTAATCGTACAGTATGAGTCATTATGATTAAAACTGAACTCTGTGCAAGGCAGAACTTAATACGATTATGTGAAATGAAAAGGCTACATACCGATTGAGGATAGCATACATCAACTATTGCATATTTATTCTCCTGCAATTCAAGAAGATAATTATTGGCAAAACACAAATGGAAGCCTAGGAAACTATAGGTGAGGGCAAAATAGACAAGGGAATGCTAGAAAAATGCAAAAGTGCAAGGAAAATATACATCGACACAGAGGCTCCCCATTCATCAACTAAGATATGATCAATTGAATAAAGCTTGGAGCTAAAAAAGTGTTTCTGAATCGAGAAGCACCTAAATTGTACTCACTATTCATGGCAGACCAAAAAAAAATAATGAGTCTGTCAACCACATATTTGGAACTCATAAAATTGAAAATAGGGCTAATTAGATTTACATTATACTTGGTTGATACAGACAGGGAGTTGTTCACCAAAAAACATAATCTTAGTTATGACTTAAAGACCAATGAAATTTTATCCTTCTATCTATCTTTTAGGAAAACTGAGACAAAAAACTATTGAACTGATTGAACCATTAAAATCTAATTAAAATGGCCTACAATCATATGATTATCTCGATTAGACCAACATTCATCAAATAACACAAAATCATTTATATGTTCCAAAGACAAATAAAGAAAGGGGGCGAAAAGAGTGCACATGGATGCAGACAAAATGATTATGTTACTAATATTCACATCATACTATAAGAAGCCAAGTAAAGTTTCCAAGTAACCGCCATCTACCCAACCTTTGGATCGAGCATCACTGCTTCAAGCATCTGTATCAACTTTCTAAAACCTGACTAGGAACTTGGCAATATGTGAACAGACTGAATTCTGGACAACCAAGTCCAGACTAGATGTATGAAATACTTGTTTGCACATGAAAATAGAGACAAGTACAGACAAGAAAATTATAAAAATATGTCAGTAGACGCCAACCGAGTTGAACAGAATAAGAAACTCAGAGTACTAAATAACAAATTATAAATGAAAACTGCAATTAACTGTGAAANGAAAATAGAGACAAGTACAGACAAGAAAATTATAAAAATATGTCAGTAGACGCCAACTGAGTTGAACAGAATAAGAAACTCAGAGTACTAAATAACAAATTATAAATGAAAACTGCAATTAACTGTGAAGTCTTCAGTGGAGGTGAAATTCAATAAGTCGATTGACCAAAAAGGTGACACAACAACTAAATAAGTAATGTGAAGAAAGAAAAATAATAATGATGAGGGCCCTAAACAGTGAACATATCACAGCATCCTGCCATCAAAAAGGGAATGATTACTTTTTATTTTTCTCTTATTTCTTTCTCTTTTCCTTGTGGCAGGAAACATATAAGAAGGATGTCATGCTTCAATTTAGAATTCCATAGCATACAACAAAAACCAATTCATTTGTTAGTGGCTTAGATTTTAAAAAAAATCAAACAACAAGACTTTTTAAGGAATTCGTGAACCATTAAAAAAGAATATCATCATTTGCCACATTCAAGTAAATGCTTATATAGATGGAGGTAAACAAATTTATAAAGATTAAAAATTACCTGCTCAAAACCAAGTACAAGATTGGCCCATTCTATATCCCTAGTAATTAGCAAATTGGATCTCGCAAGAAGAGGTGCAACTGTAGCCTACAAGAACATAAAATTGAAAGTAAATAATCCTTATAGATTCCAAACATATGTAAAACAACAAAAGATATACTCAAGAACATCACAATTTCAGAGAGGAAAGAACAAACAATCATAGGTAGCCATCTGCTAGAAGTTCCAAGCGTCTAAAAGTCATAGTGAGTAATACAATCCTATAGTGACACACACATATACCCATGTGATCATTATCTATAATTGGAAAGACGTATTTCTGGATCACCAACACATGTTAGCAGTACGTGCCAGAACATAGTAGTGTTAGAACTCTAAGTGAGAAGATTCCATTCGGGGTGTCAGTCCTGTATTTTCTTCAGCAACGATGGGTAACAGGCATACTTTGATTTTGCATCACTGCCTGCTGAAAGGAGATTCTCCATGTGCAATGTGTTAGTTATATTCTTCTCCTCTTTTGTGGCATGATGCATAACAACGCCAATCATGTATTTATTCTCCTTCACCCAAGCAAAAAAGAAGAGTATACAACCTTGGGAGTTTAAAAATTAAAAGTGGCTTCTCTACTCATTGGATTTTACTGGGGAGCANATTCTTCTCCTCTTTTGTGGCATGATGCATAACAACGCCAATCATGTATTTATTCTCCTTCACCCAAGCAAAAAAGAAGAGTATACAACCTTGAGAGTTTAAAAATTAAAAGTGGCTTCTCTACTCATTGGATTTTACTGGGGAGCGTGGTTGAGGGGTTCCTCTTAAGAAAGAAACAGTAGTTCAGCTCCTCACTTCTACTTTTCTTTTTTACTTCTCTTTCGTGTGTGTGCTTGTGCATTCGTTTGATAATGTTGTTTTTCCTTAGCCAAAGGATTTATCATTATCCTTTCATTTGTATAGTTCCGTCTCGGATAAACTACAAGTTATTCACCAGGAACAACATACAAAAAAAGCTAAACATTGAAACAAGCAACAGCAAAAAAAAAAACTAGCCCAGTTTGAAACAAATCAACCTACTTAAGCAGTAAGAAACAATAATAAATCACAGGGTATTTTTTGATTATAGGTTAATAGCTATTTTAAGAAAATAAAGGCAGGCCCAACTTCACCTCCTCCATAGATGCTGGTTCCAGAATACCAGTGACTGCTTGACTAGGAGGTGGTTGCTTCAGAACTTGCTTCACCTGACCATAAGATTCTTTACCCGTAACAGACGTGGCTGAAAACCATCTTCCCAAAGAATCCTGGAAAGAAGGCTGATTACCAAAAACTGCTTCTCCATGATTTGCATAGTTAACAATTTTTCGTCGTCTTCTTCCTCTGGACCTTTTCATTTTTTTATCTGCAACCCAGAGCTGTACCAGAAAATCTCTATTTAAGTTTGGACAAGCTTGTACACCTTGTCCATATTGACGAGATACAGTCACTGCATATGGTTTTGGCCCAAGGACTCTTAATTCTGAACAATGAGGCAATTTAAATATCCATAACGCACTTTTAGCAAAGCTCAATGTTTCGCCTGCATTTCCTCTTTGTGGTTGCAATGATAGGAGTGGAATATTTTCAGGATCAGAGACACCGTTTCGATGTTTCTTGGCCATAGAATAAGGTGATATGCTCCATTTGGTTCCCTCCAGAGTGGTTAGGGGCAACTGGGCAAAACAACGCAAGCCCTTTACCCTATACATCTGATCGAACTTTAAAGGAAGCCTGTGTAAATGACGACTGATTACACAAAAAGCAAAGATGTTGCAAAAAAGGAAGACTAAGAAGCAAAGACCACAACAGATATTCTGCATCTTCAGAGTTTGTGCAAATTTGTGTATATGGGTAGCCATCTCCTTTAATACGTATAAGCATACATACATGTACACATATATAAACCAATTCTCAAATGGTTGGAAATCCTCAGCATTGGTTAAAAACACGAGGAAAAGCATATTCAATTCAAGATTTTTGATATCAACCAATCACGCTGAAGTTGGACAGTTGATTTCTAGGGTTTTTCAGGTTTTTTTTTTTTTATCAATGTTGAACCATACTTGATGCAGACAGGGGTTTTTTTTTTTTCCCCGCACGCAAGGTGAATGCAGATAGAGCTGCTTGGCTTATTTCTTTAGACCCCAAATGATCTGGAAGACTACTTTCGTATAAATAAAATAAATTATTCTGCCATATGTATTTGTACATATATACATCTCTCGAATTTTGGTATAGGAAAGTGAAACTGATACGAAAATGAATGCAAAAGAGAATTTGGAAAGCACCTCAATCAATCAGAGAATAGCTGGGAGACAATTGGGACGACCGAAATGGAGATTCTTCGGTAATAATCAGCAAGGCGCTTCATCGAAAGTTCAAACGGAGAAGAAAAGAAGAAGAAGAAGACGGGGTTTAATGAAATGAAATGAAATGAATAAATGGACAGAGGAAGTGGGGTCTACAGCGGGGAGGGACCAAGGATCCACACTCTGCGCGCCTTCAAATGNAAAAGGGTATAAGTCTCCCGAATTTTAATTTATATCCTTAAAAATTAAAAATACTAGTAATTTATACTCTCAAAGTTATAAATTTGTATCAAGCATCTAAAACTAACATACACTAAGTTTACCATATAAAACTAAATGAGTAAATTACACTTAAACTCCGTAATGTTTGTCACTTAATCATCTGGACTCCTCACATTTGAAATATTACACTTATACCCCTAAAAATCCAAATATAATTAAAAGTGTTCTCCTAATGCAGCATCCAAATAATTCCGTTCAAGTTATGTATTTATTGCATAAAAAGAATATTATATAATATCAATACTTTTGAACATTATATAATACATGTATTATATTAGGTATTCAAATGATAACTTTGATTTTGAACTTTAGAATATAATGGACCTACAAAAATAAAGGATACTATAGAAATTATAGTTATTTATTATGATGACATCATATTTTTTAACGGTTACTTAAACGAATATTGACGACAGGTAATTATGTGTTACAAGGGCACAAACGTAAATGATCTAAGTATAATATTTAAAATGTGAGGTTACCCAGTTATTAAGTAACAAATTGGAGGGGGTATAGGCATAATTTATTCATTTAATTTTATACGGTAATTTGACGACTGTAGGCGCACATTGACATAGATTTATATTTTTGAAGGTGCAAATTGAGATTCATGAAATCTTTTAAGGTGTAATTTACGATTAACCCTAAAAAAAAGTAATTTAAGATTATTTTTTAGTCATTTGGGGTTAAATTTTATTTAAAAAAGAAAAGTATTTTAAGATTTGCTCTGACAATTAATTACACCATCTCTCTCTGTGACATCGAAGAGGGAGAAAAGAACAAGAAGAAAACGAGGGATGTGGGTGTTGGTTCCATGAGCCAGTATAACATGTTTAACTCACAAACACGTGCATGCAAAGAAAGAGTATTTATTAGAACGATGATATTATATCAATATTAATGACATAGTATTATCAATTAATAATAAAACCCCAAATAGACAAAATAAACCTCATTTGAGTAATTATTAACTTACATAAAATAAGAGTAAATAATTATTTGCTTATACGAATAAATAGTTATTAACTTATGTAAAATTTACTTCTTCATTTGTTTATATATTACCAGTCGATAATACCACGCAACAATACTAATGTACACCACCATTACAGTGAACATTTGAGTTGTTTATGGCTCAAAAGGATGTAACATTTAAGACTTTGACATTCCATCTATAAAACACTGGGATGGGGGAGTAAGAACTACAATTCTACAGAGGCCAACATGCGAGGCGGATTTCATTGACAACGAGCCGCCCCCAACTCAATGACCCTAAAACAAATATCCTTTTTTATCAATGTGGTAGCTTCTGAGACTGATCCAAGTATGTTGCCGTACAATTACAAGTGATCAAGTGAATTGTCGCCTCATAAAGGTATCTTCATGCACAAAAACTGGATTTTGGGTGTTCTGCGGTGGGAATTGGGGTTGTCCCATGGCAATGCTAGATGGATTAGGAGTAGCAGGTCCACCCCGTGGATCATTTATGTTCTTTGCTGAAGTCAAGGTGAGGTAGTAGAGAATTCCGAGAAGAACACTCGCAAGGGACAAGACAGCAGCTCCTGCAAAGACACCAGGCTTTACAACAAAGCAATCATAGTTTCCAAAGTACATGTTCTCTTCGCCATGTTGATCATTGAGTGCCGCACCGGTTAGCAGCAGCAGGAATGCTACAACAAATGTGATCCTGTATGACATTGAACTGTCAAGAACAGTCTCTTTGCAAGTCACACACAGCATGCACTTTTTTGCAAAAGGGAAAACAAGATCAACCAACCCTTTTCATAGTTGTAAAGAAACTGAGCAAAAGTGTGTTGGAATATAGTTATGCAAACCTAAACCCAACTAATGTTTTCAGATGCTATCACGGCCAATTTCCAGTTTTTGCTTGCAAGAATTTTTTTTTTTTTTTGAAAACTTGCACTCCAAACACTAAATTATCAACTTGACTATTTTCCAACAAAGGAGCATTCCCAAACACAAGGACACCATACATGCTGCAGTTCTTGTATTGATTAAACAAAAAGGATGCACAGTAAATGTATTAAAAGACCATCCCAAATCAACATGCTACACAAGAGGAGATTCCTTAAATAAATGGATATGCATCAAAGTAACGTCAAGAAAGACAGATTTTGTGCCATTTTGCAAAAATCGACAATATATCCAACACAACTCTGATGAAGGGGAGTATAATTTAATATTTTTGGCAGTCAAGATTGTAAGAGTAATTAAAGGGAACGCCTTGAGAATTATATCACACTGAAACTAGGATATCATGTCAAGTCCTCATGTCAATGGACCTAGATGTTCTACACAATAACATGTGATCCGACAATGATGCTTTGATGAATTCATGGTAGGCAATTTAAGAAGANGACTTATGTAAAATTTACTTCTTCATTTGTTTATATATTACCAGTCGATAATACCACGCAACAATACTAATGTACACCACCATTACAGTGAACATTTGAGTTGTTTATGGCTCAAAAGGATGTAACATTTAAGACTTTGACATTCCATCTATAAAACACTGGGATGGGGGAGTAAGAACTACAATTCTACAGAGGCCAACATGCGAGGCGGATTTCATTGACAACGAGCCGCCCCCAACTCAATGACCCTAAAACAAATATCCTTTTTTATCAATGTGGTAGCTTCTGAGACTGATCCAAGTATGTTGCCGTACAATTACAAGTGATCAAGTGAATTGTCGCCTCATAAAGGTATCTTCATGCACAAAAACTGGATTTTGGGTGTTCTGCGGTGGGAATTGGGGTTGTCCCATGGCAATGCTAGATGGATTAGGAGTAGCAGGTCCACCCCGTGGATCATTTATGTTCTTTGCTGAAGTCAAGGTGAGGTAGTAGAGAATTCCGAGAAGAACACTCGCAAGGGACAAGACAGCAGCTCCTGCAAAGACACCAGGCTTTACAACAAAGCAATCATAGTTTCCAAAGTACATGTTCTCTTCGCCATGTTGATCATTGAGTGCCGCACCGGTTAGCAGCAGCAGGAATGCTACAACAAATGTGATCCTGTATGACATTGAACTGTCAAGAACAGTCTATTTGCAAGTCACACACAGCATGCACTTTTTTGTAAAAGGGAAAACAAGATCAACCAACCCTTTTCATAGTTGTAAAGAAACTGAGCAAAAGTGTGTTGGAATATAGTTATGCAAACCTAAACCCAACTAATGTTTTCAGATGCTATCACGGCCAATTTCCAGTTTTTGCTTGCAAGAATTTTTTTTTTTTTTTGAAAACTTGCACTCCAAACACTAAATTATCAACTTGACTATTTTCCAACAAAGGAGCATTCCCAAACACAAGGACACCATACATGCTGCAGTTCTTGTATTGATTAAACAAAAAGGATGCACAGTAAATGTATTAAAAGACCATCCCAAATCAACATGCTACACAAGAGGAGATTCCTTAAATAAATGGTTATGCATCAAAGTAACGTCAAGAAAGACAGATTTTGTGCCATTTTGCAAAAATCGACAATATATCCAACACAACTCTGATGAAGGGATGAAGGGGAGTATAATTTAATATTTTTGGCAGTCAAGATTGTAAGAGTAATTAAAGGGAACGCCTTGAGAATTATATCACACTGAAACTAGGATATCATGTCAAGTCCTCATGTCAATGGACCTAGATGTTCTACACAATAACATGTGATCCGACAATGATGCTTTGATGAATTCATGGTAGGCAATTTAAGAAGAACAAGGGTTGGTGTATTAGTCAGAGTTTGGTTTAGCCAATAATCAAATCTGCAGTGTCTTATCCAAATCACTGGAAGTTGGAGACATCTCAATCCAATGACATCTTCAGAATTAGATAACAATTGTAATCTGTTTCAGTTGGCACATGATCCTTGTATTGAGAGTTCAGACAAAGCCTTGCATCTTAGCACTAACGTTAGTGAAGTTCCACATTACCAGGAGACAACACAGCAGACCACTGCTAGTGTCCATTTAGTGTTTGGTTGATGAGGACCTCTTCCACAACAAATGCAATCAGTTGCAACATTGATCATAATTTGAGAAATCATAAGAGCCGCAGCCGCAGTTAATCCAAGGGCCATAGCTGGACTCCTGGGGTATACACAGTCAGGAGGAGAGGTATATTGAACCTGATAACCCTGCAAAATAATCGTGACACAAAATAAACAACATTCAAAAAATGTGTGAATCATAAAGCCGTAGAAGACAAATATGCTTTTGCTCTACAGACCCACAATCTGCATCGTGAAAGTATAAAAGAAAAAAGTATTACAAAAAAAGAGAATTATCCCACAGATGACAGTGGAAGCAATTAGTAGCATAGTATTCCTTAAACCATATCAAGAATTGTATAGTCCTGAGCATTAAGAAGGATTCCTTACTCAACCGATGAGAGATCACCCAACAACTCCCTCCCTCTCTCTCTTCCTCTTCTTTTCTCTAAACAGCAGACAAGAATTCATAACCTTAATCAAGTGAAGACTCAATCACCAAGCAGGAAAGAGAAGCAGATTCTCTGACCAACTTCCATTTCCACAAATCACTATATCAAGTTTGTGAGTGAGGAGACAGTACATTAGCGATTTCTGAATCTCTGTGGAGCAGTTAATTAAAGTCAAGCATTTCAAAAAAAAACCTATAAGCATTTACTCCTAATATATGAGAATGAGACCCTTCTGATATGTAAAGTCCTTAATGCTGCTGAATTGAAAGAGTTCAAAAAGATAAAATTAGCCATGGAATTGAAGTCTTTAACCTCGAGGCTTAAGAGGGACTGAATTAAAATGCAATCGTTGCATTGCATTTCTGCAGTGTAATAAAGCTAGGATTTTAGATGTTGGACACAGTGAGAATCAGAAAGCATATTTACAAATCTTTTGAAAACCAGGGATTGATGACTCCTTTGCTATGAAGCCTGAAGGATGGCGAGATAATACCCGAGACTGAGACACAAATAAGTTAAAAGGAAAACAAATTGTCGACAGTTACATAGTTGGCATTGAGATTGGGAAGAAAATAATACAATTGCTTAGTATTATGGACAATGACAAAGTCTAAATTGCATATCTAGAGTCCACATTGGTAGAGATTTTCTGACTGAGTGAATCTGGTAAATTGTCAGGTCTGTCAACCCCTCTTGTACTTCTTTCTTGTACTCATCCTAATTTTTTTTCATGCACAATATGGTGGAAGTTTTTTTAATCAAAAAGTAGGATGTATCCAATGTCTACAACTATTTGTGGCCATTTTTGACTCCAAATTGTATGAAAAACTCAAACTGTATAGTTATGTATGGCACGAGCACACTGGGTGATATTGACTTATCAGTTATCATTGGGACCATTTTATTCAATTAATTGTGGGAAGTTCTAGAATAGATCTGCACGTCCAAGTTGAACTCCCAACCCGAACTAAACTTGATCTCAAGGATTGCAAACTACCTCAAGTATCAAGGGGAGTTAACTCGTATCCGAAAAAGGGTCGGGGCATTATGCCAGACGGATGGGAAAAAAGAAACTGAGGGGGAAAAAAAAACTAACTATTAAAAAAAATCACCTTTCTGTGATGCAGGCAAAAACCTTTTAGGCTTACCCCGCATAGTCTAGATGTGAATAGGTTATGTACACTTATGTACATTCCTTCTTTGAACCTTTTGGTATGTATAATGCTGTGGAGTTAACTCTAAGACGCACAATACACCTAAATGTCTTGGGTTCGACTCTCGTCAGTGTGTCCTAAATGCGATAAAGAGTAGAAAGATTTTCAATCGATGAGCCAAGCTCAAGGGGGTGCTCCTGTGCCTTCCTCAGGGAAGGGGTGATATACTGATTTATTGGGGAATGAATAGGCCACTTCTTACTGATTCTTGGATGACGGGTGAGTGCAAGTATCCGATGTTTACCCTCGCAGAGGTGGATCCAAAGGACCCTTGCCCTAAGGGGTTTCACGTCATCAGAAAAAGAAAAAAACTTAATGCTTTATCATAAGAACAACTTTAATAAAATCCCTAGGTTATTTTTTTTTCGATTTTCTCCCTAATGTAGAATGACAAATCTAGTTACTCCGAAGGGTAAGACAAATGAAAGCCGCTAAGTAGCGGGGAGGATCATTCCTAGGACTAAGATCCAACCAGAAGACGGTCTTTGCCTCCACAGAGCCTCTTACAGGGCTTGTACTCCAGACCTCCTGTTGGGAGGTGCGAGACTGGCCACCTGATGAGTAATTTATGTGGTGAGTAAATGCACTTGGTTTCTCAAATTGATGAGTAACTCCTTCAAGTAGTCATCAGTCAATCCGCATCAAAATTAACTAGCACTGGCCCCTTGAAAAAGTTTTAGAATATTACTCCTAGTTATATTTATATGCATATTGAAAGCAACATACAGCAGTTCCCATGTGCAACTAGCTACCAATAATGCCGGAAAGAACAACGAACACGGTTCATGGCAATTAGGACAGCCAAAGAGGCATAACCCGTGAAGCAATTTCTAACGCAGTAAATAAATTTTTAAATCACATTGAAAAAGAGGTGGGGGGTTAGCTGCAAACATTGAATGTATCCTCATGTAAGAATTTATAAACAAATGTAGCTGCAAGCATCAGTGAAAGGTATTTGAACAAACTAGCAGTGTTATCAATATCATCAATCTTGGGTAAGAATATCTCATAACATCCGACTTTATCTTGTTCGTCCTGATATTTTTTAAGTCATGGAAATATTTTGCCCGGTGAGGAACGCGGCTTAATTTCAGTCCCACAAAGGCCTATTTGAGTAACGAGAAAACCAAATCATCCAGTTGGAAAGACCAACAAAGATTCCTCTTCAAAACAGCCATGGCAGAGCATCTCAATAAAATTGCATATCAATAGAAGATCTACCTCAACACTAATTATTAGCATATATGCGTGATGTGCGCAAAAAATAAGANTTGCATATCAATAGAAGATCTACCTCAACACTAATTATTAGCATATATGCGTGATGTGCGCAAATAATAAGGGAGACGAAAAAGAGTAAGAGAAGTTTGCCCCCCATTTTCTATGATCACCTTTATCCTCTTGGCCTCTGCAACAAAACCCAAAGCAGCAGAGAGTAGCCCTAGAAACGCCGCAAGCGAGCACACCACTACGACCTTTTTCTCCATTTCCTCTTTCTCTCTCTAGACTAAACTAGACTAGACTAAACGACTAGGCTAGACCGCACTCTTGTTTCTCACAAAAGATACACCCACTCTTTCTCTGCGTCCGTACAGAACAGTAAGAGTTCAACGATCAGTTACTGGTTCAAGAAAGAGAAGAGAGAAAGTGTAGTGATGAAGGAAACGGGAAGCTAGTGAACGTCTCTAATTTATCGGTCGTGTCGTTTTGAGTTTGTCTCTCAATCAACTCTGTATCTCAATCAACTCTGTATAAAAAATTGGGTTAATCACGCGCCGAAAGATTGTTCGAATCTCAATTTACATCTTTAAAGATCAAAAATTTTAATTTATACCTTCAAAGATAGAAANCCTCATGTCAATGGACCTAGATGTTCTACACAATAACATGTGATCCGACAATGATGCTTTGATGAATTCATGGTAGGCAATTTAAGAAGAACAAGGGTTGGTGTATTAGTCAGAGTTTGGTTTAGCCAATAATCAAATCTGCAGTGTCTTATCCAAATCACTGGAAGTTGGAGACATCTCAATCCAATGACATCTTCAGAATTAGATAACAATTGTAATCTGTTTCAGTTGGCACATGATCCTTGTATTGAGAGTTCAGACAAAGCCTTGCATCTTAGCACTAACGTTAGTGAAGTTCCACATTACCAGGAGACAACACAGCAGACCACTGCTAGTGTCCATTTAGTGTTTGGTTGATGAGGACCTCTTCCACAACAAATGCAATCAGTTGCAACATTGATCATAATTTGAGAAATCATAAGAGCCGCAGCCGCAGTTAATCCAAGGGCCATAGCTGGACTCCTGGGGTATACACAGTCAGGAGGAGAGGTATATTGAACCTGATAACCCTGCAAAATAATCGTGACACAAAATAAACAACATTCAAAAAATGTGTGAATCATAAAGCCGTAGAAGACAAATATGCTTTTGCTCTACAGACCCACAATCTGCATCGTGAAAGTATAAAAGAAAAAAGTATTACAAAAAAAGAGAATTATCCCACAGATGACAGTGGAAGCAATTAGTAGCATAGTATTCCTTAAACCATATCAAGAATTGTATAGTCCTGAGCATTAAGAAGGATTCCTTACTCAACCGATGAGAGATCACCCAACAACTCCCTCCCTCTCTCTCTTCCTCTTCTTTTCTCTAAACAGCAGACAAGAATTCATAACCTTAATCAAGTGAAGACTCAATCACCAAGCAGGAAAGAGAAGCAGATTCTCTGACCAACTTCCATTTCCACAAATCACTATATCAAGTTTGTGAGTGAGGAGACAGTACATTAGCGATTTCTGAATCTCTGTGGAGCAGTTAATTAAAGTCAAGCATTTCAAAAAAAAACCTATAAGCATTTACTCCTAATATATGAGAATGAGACCCTTCTGATATGTAAAGTCCTTAATGCTGCTGAATTGAAAGAGTTCAAAAAAATAAAATTAGCCATGGAATTGAAGTCTTTAACCTCGAGGCTTAAGAGGGACTGAATTAAAATGCAATCGTTGCATTGCATTTCTGCAGTGTAATAAAGCTAGGATTTTAGATGTTGGACACAGTGAGAATCAGAAAGCATATTTACAAATCTTTTGAAAACCAGGGATTGATGACTCCTTTGCTATGAAGCCTGAAGGATGGCGAGATAATACCCGAGACTGAGACACAAATAAGTTAAAAGGAAAACAAATTGTCGACAGTTACATAGTTGGCATTGAGATTGGGAAGAAAATAATACAATTGCTTAGTATTATGGACAATGACAAAGTCTAAATTGCATATCTAGAGTCCACATTGGTAGAGATTTTCTGACTGAGTGAATCTGGTAAATTGTCAAGTCTGTCAACCCCTCTTGTACTTCTTTCTTGTACTCATCCTAATTTTTTTTCATGCACAATATGGTGGAAGTTTTTTTAATCAAAAAGTAGGATGTATCCAATGTCTACAACTATTTGTGGCCATTTTTGACTCCAAATTGTATGAAAAACTCAAACTGTATAGTTATGTATGGCACGAGCACACTGGGTGATATTGACTTATCAGTTATCATTGGGACCATTTTATTCAATTAATTGTGGGAAGTTCTAGAATAGATCTGCACGTCCAAGTTGAACTCCCAACCCGAACTAAACTTGATCTCAAGGATTGCAAACTACCTCAAGTATCAAGGGGAGTTAACTCGTATCCGAAAAAGGGTCGGGGCATTATGCCAGACGGATGGGAAAAAAGAAACTGAGGGGGAAAAAAAAACTAACTATTAAAAAAAATCACCTTTCTGTGATGCAGGCAAAAACCTTTTAGGCTTACCCCGCATAGTCTAGATGTGAATAGGTTATGTACACTTATGTACATTCCTTCTTTGAACCTTTTGGTATGTATAATGCTGTGGAGTTAACTCTAAGACACCTAAATGTCTTGGGTTCGACTCTCGTCAGTGTGTCCTAAATGCGAGAAAGAGTAGAAAGATTTTCAATCGATGAGTNTACATTCCTTCTTTGAACCTTTTGGTATGTATAATGCTGTGGAGTTAACTCTAAGACGCACAATACACCTAAATGTCTTGGGTTCGACTCTCGTCAGTGTGTCCTAAATGCGATAAAGAGTAGAAAGATTTTCAATCGATGAGCCAAGCTCAAGGGGGTGCTCCTGTGCCTTCCTCAGGGAAGGGGTGATATACTGATTTATTGGGGAATGAATAGGCCACTTCTTACTGATTCTTGGATGACGGGTGAGTGCAAGTATCCGATGTTTACCCTCGCAGAGGTGGATCCAAAGGACCCTTGCCCTAAGGGGTTTCACGTCATCAGAAAAAGAAAAAAACTTAATGCTTTATCATAAGAACAACTTTAATAAAATCCCTAGGTTATTTTTTTTTCGATTTTCTCCCTAATGTAGAATGACAAATCTAGTTACTCCGAAGGGTAAGACAAATGAAAGCCGCTAAGTAGCGGGGAGGATCATTCCTAGGACTAAGATCCAACCAGAAGACGGTCTTTGCCTCCACAGAGCCTCTTACAGGGCTTGTACTCCAGACCTCCTGTTGGGAGGTGCGAGACTGGCCACCTGATGAGTAATTTATGTGGTGAGTAAATGCACTTGGTTTCTCAAATTGATGAGTAACTCCTTCAAGTAGTCATCAGTCAATCCGCATCAAAATTAACTAGCACTGGCCCCTTGAAAAAGTTTTAGAATATTACTCCTAGTTATATTTATATGCATATTGAAAGCAACATACAGCAGTTCCCATGTGCAACTAGCTACCAATAATGCCGGAAAGAACAACGAACACGGTTCATGGCAATTAGGACAGCCAAAGAGGCATAACCCGTGAAGCAATTTCTAACGCAGTAAATAAATTTTTAAATCACATTGAAAAAGAGGTGGGGGGTTAGCTGCAAACATTGAATGTATCCTCATGTAAGAATTTATAAACAAATGTAGCTGCAAGCATCAGTGAAAGGTATTTGAACAAACTAGCAGTGTTATCAATATCATCAATCTTGGGTAAGAATATCTCATAACATCCGACTTTATCTTGTTCGTCCTGATATTTTTTAAGTCATGGAAATATTTTGCCCGGTGAGGAACACGGCTTAATTTCAGTCCCGCAAAGGCCTATTTGAGTAACGAGAAAACCAAATCATCCAGTTGGAAAGACCAACAAAGATTCCTCTTCAAAACAGCCATAGCAGAGCATCTCAATAAAATTGCATATCAATAGAAGATCTACCTCAACACTAATTATTAGCATATATGCGTGATGTGCGCAAATAATAAGGGAGACGAAAAAGAGTAAGAGAAGTTTGCCCCCCATTTTCTATGATCACCTTTATCCTCTTGGCCTCTGCAACAAAACCCAAAGCAGCAGAGAGTAGCCCTAGAAACGCCGCAAGCGAGCACACCACTACGACCTTTTTCTCCATTTCCTCTTTCTCTCTCTAGACTAAACTAGACTACACTAAACGACTAGGCTAGACCGCACTCTTGTTTCTCACAAAATATACACCCACTCTTTCTCTGCGTCCGTACAGAACAGTAAGAGTTCAACGATCAGTTACTGGTTCAAGAAAGAGAAGAGAGAAAGTGTAGTGATGAAGGAAACGGGAAGCTAGTGAACGTCTCTAATTTATCGGTCGTGTCGTTTTGAGTTTGTCTCTCAATCAACTTTGTATAAAAAATTGGGTTAATCTCATTATGCGCTCCGAACGATTCTTCGAATCTCAATTTACATCTTCAAATATCAAAAAATTTAATTTATACTTTCAAAGATAAAAATTATATCAATGTGTACCCCAAAGATCAAAAATCTCAATTTGCACCTTCAAAGATAGAAATTTGTATCAATGCGCATCCCCAAAGATAAAAAATCTCAATTTGCACCTTCAAAGATAGAAATTTGTATCAATGTGCA